CCCGTAGCGGTAATTTAGATAGGCGGGCGAAGGGCTCTTGGCTACCGAAGGAAACCGGCTAACGGCCAGATACTAGTCTGGCTCCCAGGGTAGGGGGAAGTGTCTCTTTCTTTCATCCATAACGTCTTTGGGAGCGAGTATTTTCTGAATGAGCTACTTGGCAAACGGAACAAAGAGGTAGCCTGTCTACACAACAGAATAAGGGTTAACCCACCACTATGTTTTCCCTTCAAATCCAAGGTTACATTTCTAACTCCCATGTCCAGTACAACCATCTATTTCATGGACAAAGTGGTTGACTCGTTCCGACTTGATTGAGGTGATACGAATCACCTTACATCTACCCTTCTAACTATGCGACTAACCTTGATCTGATTTAAAAGACAGTAACAGTCTGCTCAAGCCCACAAAAAAGCTCAAAGTTTACACGGTACGGCGACAGTCCAAAACACGACCTTGTTGCAGCATATACTAGTAAACATGTCTCCACAACAAAGAACACAACATCGAATTGTGGAACATAGTGACGTCACAATTCGAACGTAGAACGTTTGAGACCTGGTTCGAGCGACATCGTGCGGCCGGTAGCGGTTCTGCAGGACTGGTAGCACTTGGTAGTATTCTAATTCTCCCATCGTAATCGCAGCCGATAGATGTACGTAATTTTAAGGAGGTTTAACCTTCTTGGTAATTCTACATTTTTTAACGTAAGTCATGATGAGAATGTCTTTCTAGTCTCCCATAACATAAGATACCTCTAGTCCACAAAGATTTGAATTCATTTTTAATTCAATGAATGGGTAAATTAAATAACTTCTTCTTCTATTGAGAAAATAGAACACGTAAGATTTTTAGTCAATATACAAACGCTAACTTTATTCATTGAATAAAACAAGCAAGCAACTTCAAAAACACTAGTACACAGCTCAACCTCACTGGCCCGACAGGTACACAATGTGAATATTGATTATATTCCTAAATTCGGAGTGTCTTGGATAAAATCTCTGGATATACGGATATACTTTTATCACAAGTTCACAAAATAGATGTATAAGACGGCACATACCCTGGATGCCAAACTAGTATCGGGCCGTTAGCCTTTTTCCTTCGGCAGCCGAGAGTCCTTCGCCCGCCTGCCTAAATTACCGCTACGGGGGAGTTGAGCCCGATGGGAGATGTCCGGCCAGCCAAACTCCCCCCGGGCTAGACTCCCCCGTAGCGGTAATTTACACCAGCGGGCGAAGGGCTTTTGCGGCCCGGACAGCGAGTTTGGATTCCAGGGTAGACGGCACAGTACTTTCCCCACTACTGCCAGAACCTATTACGGAATTACTACCATGCATCATTATACGTGGTTGTGGAATGAAAATTTGGCATGTGCCTCCTAGATCTGGCTATCGTACTCTGTACATTAATACTTTTCTGGAGTAATAAACTGATTCTATTTGCGTAGATCAGAATGACATTTCCTTTAGTACAATACCCACGGTTTGGTTAGTAGAATATTAATAAAGATATCTTCTTTGATGAAAAATATTCTGAAAGGACTGGACGGTCTCTTCACACGTGGGTTGATCGAGACTCCTGGACGAACGCGTCGACTCGGACAGGTCTGAAAATGGTGGAAATCAACAGAGGGTTTTTCCTGGCGTTCATCTCGGCGTCGCCTCTCCGTCTGCCGTTCGCGGGCGCCACCTTGCGGTTTTGTCTCGCATCCCACGCCGCCTTGCAGCTTCTGGGAATCTTCTTGATGTACTTCTTGATGCTGTCGTTCATGGCGATGTAGACCACGGTGTTGATCATGCTGTTGCCCATAGCCAGGGCCTCCACCACGTAGAAGATGGGGAGGTTCAGCTTGTTCTTCGACCAGATGTAAGGAAAGTAGTCCCGGGCGATGGAATATCCGTAGTAGGGACCCCAGCACAGCACGAAGAGCACGAGCACCACCACCAGCAGGCGAACACTCCGCCGCTTGGAGCGCATGATGCTCTGATTCTGTTCGTCAGTCCGGAAGCCAGGGACCTAGCAATTAGACAGAAATACGTGTGAGGTTTTATATCTTACCTGTATGTATATATGATACTTTGGAGACATATCTCTATCCATACAAATACCAAGATAAGAATATACAAAAGCAACGTGCAAAGTGTCTTACTATATGGGGCAGAATGTTGGAAAACCACCGCCAGTATTTGACACAAACTAAAGGTGTTCCAGAACAAGTGCCTAAGACGCATATTAAGGATATTCTGGCTAAAAACCATCTCAACCGAGGACCTTCTCAATAGAACTGGATACCCCGGGGCTCGTTCACTATACACTCAGGGGAGGGGAGGGTACAAGGCTTCTTCAAAATCATGAAATCTTGGCAGTGCCATGCAAACAATAACCCTAACAGCAACCACCGTCACCATGGCAATGTATGTTTTCATTGCCAGTCTTGTTGACATTTAAAGTTGTTTTGTGTTCTATATAGCCTTACCTGTCTCTTCCAAATCTTCCGTACGATGAAGACATAGCAGAACGTCATAATGATGACAGGAATGACGAACTCCAGAACCAGCATAGACAGGTAGTACGCCTTGTACCTGTGTGAAAAACATACCTGTTATATCATAAACAGGTAAAACACACCTGTTATATAATCGACAGGTAGTACGCCTTGTACCTGTGTGAAAAACACACCTATTATACCATTGACAGGTAAAAAAAAACAACGAATTCATAGCTCACTCAACGAATTACAGAAAGAGAGAACGAAATTTTGTACGTTTTCTCTTTCAAAGTTATTCATGTACATCCTGTATCATATTTAGATTATGGAATCAAGGGTGTAAGGCCCCCATTTCACTAGGACGCTCTCACTGTGCTCTTACTGCGCGCGCTCATTTTGCGACCTGACATTGGTCTGAGCGCAAAGAGAGCGCGAAGAGAGCGCCGAGGTCGCCATGTTTTGTATCTAAATTAATGTTGGGGCCGTTGCGCGCTCTCATGGCGCTCGCTTCACGCTCTCGCGGCACTCATAGACCCCGTTCACAGTTGAATCGCCGTCCTCGGCGCTCTCACGGCGATGGTATGACCCGGTTCCATACCATCGCCGAGGTGACGGCGCTCATGGCGCTCTCATCACGCTCCCGTGGCGACCTTGGCGCTCTCTCCGCGCTCTGGCCAATTTCAGGTCACAGAGAGAGCGCCATGAGAGCGCCGTCTAATGCTGAGGTCACAATTCCCACACGGGGCCCGGCCGGGCAGCTTTGGGGAACGAAAACTACGATACAAAATACAACAAAACACAGAAAAGTTCTTAATAACAATCATGAGCTCTGTTTCGGTATATTTTTTATATGAATAGTCAATTTTTCGTTCGTACAAACAGCCCGGCCGGGCCCCGGTTTGGAAATGTGACCTAAGCATAAGCGGAACGGGGGTATAACGAAAAAGCCTCATGCTTCGCCCTCAATCTGAGGTCGCCAACTTTTCCTTACTTTTTTTTAAATTTAAACACTCTCTACCACCAGGATAACAATCTCCTTTCCTTTACTACCTACATTCTGTTCCTAACTACTGAAGACGTTATCTCTCATCAACTGACATTCAGAGATCCTTAAAGCTTTAAATGGACATCAGATAAGACAACAAATGACTGTTTCTAGCAGTAAGATGGTGTAAAGGACGTCCGTTGGTCACAATTCATCAGATCTGTTCACGCCGTCTTGTCAGTTTGATCAGTGTGATCAGTTTTGAAGTGCTAAATGGCTTCTGACAGCCAATGAGAGAGTCGGATTTCACTGGCGCCTACAGTTCCGTTAATTTCCGGGCTAAAGCGAGCGCAAAGGTCGTTGCGTTTAAATGTCTGTGATTGTAATCTATTGGACCCTGCAGTTATGGAACGTGTTAATGGTGCCTCTATATCTGCGTTTTCCTCATCAGTGAATAGCTCCGCACATAACTACATTCACGACGGCGTCATTGATATTCAGTTGAAGGGCAAGGTTAAAGAAACGATCATTACACTAACAGAAAGGAAGTTCAGCGGCCTGTAAAAGGCTTGGAAACTCAGTTAGGCCACACCAAGTAATTTTTATGGATCATCGGATGACTCTGCTGCCCCGACGGCTGACTAAGCTATGGGAGAGAGTGAGAGTGAGTGAGTGATTGGATGACTTTCCCCCTAAATCTAATGCGAGAGCGCGAAAAAAAAACAAGAAGGCATGCAGAAAAAAAAAGATGCCTGGATTTGAAATGTACTAACGATAAGTACAAATTGAATAAGAGAACACAGTGTAGCAACCAACAAGTCTTTTATTCGTTACGAAAACAGCAATAGATCAGTGGAACAGCATCTGTCATCCTGTTCTGCTTCTTTCCTTTAATCATATCTTCCCTTATCCCATTGTTGTGACTCTTTGGTCATATTTTACAAGAAGCGGCCGGAATTTCTTGTTGTTTTTGTAGATAAATCTACTACAGGCATACATGCGCAATTATCCGTATAACTTCTTAGAGTCGGGAGTGACATACGATAATTAAAAACACGTGTTTTTAAAATTTAGTCACTCTGGTTTTCCTCAGTAGACTGACCCAGTGAGGCTTGTCACGTGGCTTTTTTGAAGTGTGACGGGTGCCGACATCATCTACCAAAAACCTTTGACACAGTGTTGACGTCTTTGACCCAGTGTTGACGTCACACTTCAAAGACGCCACGTGACAAGCCTCACTGGGTCAGTCTACTGAGGAAGACCAGAGTGACTGGTCGAAAGCTCTAGGTGAGAGAACTTCTTTTGTGTTGGATCAAAAGTTTTCACTCTAAGCTCCACGTAGGTGTTGAATACAACTTTATCAAGACCACCTAGAAAAAATATAAAATAAAAACTTAGTACTAGTATTACTTACCGGGCTTTTTCCTGGAT